GTATTACATCATGTAATAACCCAAATGAGTTTTGTGTCATTTGGAGCTGTTCCAAAGATATTCGGTTGGGTTATATCCAAGTAACATCTTCCAATAGGCAAACAAGTTAAAGGCAAAAACTAAACTGTTCATACTTTATCATTTATGGTACGCCAGCATTCATAACATGTAGGCTAATCACTGTCGCCCAGACATCCGCGGTTATATTTTTTATATTAATTTTTTTTTTTAATGGAATGCCGGCTACAATTCATTCATCCTGTACGCTGAACCGCTGCTAGTTTTGCTCACATGCCTGGAAGATGTCTAGTGCTACTACAACAGATGATCTTGCTCTCGAAATGGAATTGAACGATTCAGATTAGCTAGCAGAATGAATATAAGGGGTAGAGCGTAGCCCGGGCTGCCTATCACAACTCCAGTCCGCCGCGCGGATGACGTCATACACACTCCGCTTCGTTTTTAAGAAATATGATTATAAAAATAAAATAACCCCTGATGTCTAGGGGAAAGTAATTTGCCTAAATGTTATGAATGCTGGCATACCATACAGAATAAATTATGAACAGTTTAGCCAGCCTTCAACTGGTTGCCCCTAGGAAGAGGTTACTTGGATATAGCAAAACCGAATATCATCGGAACAGGTCCAAATGACACAAAACTGATATGGGTGAGTAGAACATGATGTAATAACGTAAAATGAAGGGCCCAATGTAAAAAAAAAAAAAAAAACAGCATTCCCCTTTAAGGCAGTACCGCAGAGAACTAGCAACCCCATAAACAAATTCATCAACCTGTGAAGTGGAATAAACTAAACACTAGCACTATCTGATAATGATCTGCTAAAGTGAAACCTTCTTTTGGGGTAGGAGAACTCTTTTAAAGTAATCCTGAAGGTTATTAAAATGTGTTCAGAGAAGACAGGGTTGTGAGGAAATACTGTTATTTCTTCACATTCTATGCCATATGTCAGCACAAGGTCTAAAATATGAAGATAAGACTGTGTGGGACTATTCACATTTTGAACAGAGAAAATAGAATCTAAGATAGCATTAAAGGCTGCTCTTAAGCTATGGACCTGTAATTATTAACTGCCTTTGGAGTAATCATTAAGTCAGACTGAAAGATTGTTGCTGCTACTCCTCACCCATTAATTCTGGTTTTTGAAAATAAATAACTTGAAAGAGTTGCCTTCAGAGCGTTAAAGCAACTTGACCACAGTGTAATCTAGTGTCCAGATTTCTGCGTCTGTGCATTTTTGATACCCACGTCTCCGGTGTGAACGCAGTATTACAGCTTGTGCAAACCACTCTATCACCAGGTGCCCTAAAGTATTCCCATTCTTTGGATACTTTTTTTCTTCAAGCTAGCCGATGCCTCCCGCCTCGATTCAGACTCACCCCACTGTGCCATTTTCATATCACATTTAAAACAAGAACCAGGAGAGGAAAATGGAGCCAATTTATGGAGCCAAAAA